CCTAAAACAGGAAAAAAATGTTGAGGTATTTAAAGTTATATCACAAATAATTTTTATTTTTTTTTATGGAGAAAGGGGGCCACAAAAGCAAAAGTGCCTAGGGCCCACGAAAGTCATAATGTGGCCCTGGTGGCAACTCAGCGCCTTGCCTGGGGAGCTGGCACAAGCCGGCTACCTCAGACCGGAGCCTTTCTGAGGGGAAGGGGGAGTACAGAGCCGGGGCGCTGGGTGGGCACCAGATTTCCCTGCAGTGAGGCAGCAGCTGCCAGACACTCTGTCCCAAGGTGGCACCAGCAGAAGGAGCTGAGAGCTCTATGGGAGCTTACGAGAGATTCCAGGATCTCTCCAAAGGGAGCAGACTTGAGGGCGAGTTCATCGCCTAGGGCTGCCAGCGCCCGGCAGGGCCCCACAGTGCCTGGGAGAGAGAGGGGGCCTGAGCCAGAGAGAAAGGATGTGGACAAATTGGAGAAAGTCCAGCGGAGGGCAATGAAAATGATTCAGGGGCTGGCGCTCATGACCTATGAGGAGAGGCTGAGGGGTTTGGGCTTATTTTGTCTGCAGGAGGGAAGAGGGAGGGGGGATTTGAGAGCCGCCTGCAACTCCCTGAAGGGGGTTCCAAAAAGGATGGAGAGAGGCTGTTCTCAGTGGGGGCAGATAGCACATAGAGGCGGGGATTTCCCTAGGCGGGCGGGAAGCCCTGGGCTGGGTTCCCTAGGGAGGGGGGGAATCTCCATCCCTAGAGGTGTTTAAGTCCCAGCTTGACCCAGCCCTGGCTGGGCTGATTGAGTTGGGCTGGTCCTGCCTTGGGCCGGGGGCTGGACTCGGTGACTCCTGAGGTCTCTGCCGCTCTGGGGTTCTAGGATTCTGCGGTCACCTCAAACCAGCCACTGACATTCCCATGCACAAACCAGCTATGACGGAGCGGTTCGCACCACTGAACTCTGGGGCCTTCATCTGGGGCCCAGCCAGCACATGCCACCCAGTGCCTCAGTTTCCCTTTCTTGCACCTTGGCGACGGGGAGTGTTCTCTAGTCATCCTGACAGCAGTCACCGTTCAACATGCTCTCGGTCACTGTAGACGAGACGGGTACTGTCGCAACGTGCCCTGCACTCCTACCTCTTCTGAGGCCATGGGATCGCTTGGCCAGCTCTAGCCAGGGGCAGGCGCGCCGGGCTAGGCTTTGGGTCCATCCCTGCGTGGAGCTAATGATACAGACTCATCTTTGCAACAAGCTCTCTGGTCTGTGCATGACCAGGGTGCAGGAGAGCGAAGGACTGTCCTCGGGGATCTGCTGAGGGCCCAAGCAAGCTGGTTTCCAAGAGAGCGAGCTGCCCGGCGCGTGGCAGCCTGTGGCGTGCGGGTCTCACCGCCTCGCAGAGAACGACGCACTTTCAGAGAATCCTAGAATACTAGGGCTGGAAGGGACCTCGAGAGTCATCGAGTCCAGTCCCCTGCCCTCATGGCAGGACCAAATACTGTCTAGACCATCCCTGACAGACATTTATCTAACCTGCTCTTAAATATCTCCAGAGATGGGGATTCCACAACCTCCCTGGGCAATTTATTCCAGTGTTTGACCACCCTGACAGTTAGGAACTTGTTCCTAATGTCCAACCTAAACTTCCCTTGCTGCAGTTTAAGCCCATTGCTTCTTGTCCTATCCTCAGAGGCCAAGATGAAAAAGTTTTCTCCCTCCTCCTTATGACACCCTGCTATCATGTCCCCCCTCAATCCTCTCTTTTCTAAACTAAACAAACCCAGTTCCTTCAGCCTTCCCTCATAGGTCATGTTCTCTAGACCTTTAACCATTCTTGTTGCTCTTCTCTGTACCCTCTCCAATTTCTCCACATCTTTCTTGCAATGCGGTGCCCAGAACTGGACCCAAGACTCCAACTGAGGCCTAACCAGCGCAGAGTAGAGCAGAAGAATGACTTCTCGTGTCTTGCGCACAACACACCTGTTAATGCAGCCCAGAATCAGGTTTGCTTTCTTTGCAACAGCATCACACTGCTGACTTATATTTAACTTGTGGGTCACTATAACCCCTAGATCCCTTTCTGCCGTACTCCTTCTCGGACAGTCGCTTCCCATTCTGTATGTGTGAAACTGATGTGCCTTCCTAAGTGGAGCACTTTACATTTGTCTTTATTAAACTTCATCCTATTTACCTCAGACCATTTCTCCAATTTGTCCAGGTCATTTTGAATTATGTCCCTATCCTCCAGATTAGTTGCAACCCCTCCCAGCTTGGTATCATCTGCAAACTTAATAAGCGTACTTTCTATGCCAATATCTAAATCGTTGATGAAGATATTGAAGAGAGCCGGTCCCAAAACAGACCCCTAACACCCGGCCAGTGGTCTGAGGGAAGACTGCTGGATTTGGGCCCTGTTGAAATGCCCATGGCGGACAAAAGGCAGTTTCTTGAAATATGGAACGTTTGTGTGTGTAACACATTCCCCCTTCCACCAGAGGAAAAGCAAACCCCTTTTGGGCATCTCTTCATGACATTTCCATGGAATCTTGCCTTAGAAGTCATTTGAAAAGTAGCTTGTTGGAAGTGGCGTCTGTGACGTAGTGGGGGTACTTGCTGGGCTGTGGTGACCCCTGCTGTCTGGAGCAAGACCCAGCAGGGAAAGCCTCACTAGGCCAAGGTAATGCCAAACTTGTTGAACCAGTGGCCAGACACCCCCCATGGAGAGGAACAAAGGAAGGTGGAATGCTGCCCTGGCTGGGGGGCAGGGCTGGTGGAGGGTTAGTTAGTTCCTGGCTGGAAGGCAGGGAATAAGGAGCTGGGGAGGGGGCTGGGACTCCCCTATCTCAAAGGGGGGGCACTGAGGCCTCTTAGCCCCAGTTCCTGTAACCAGATTACATCTGTGCTGCGCTGTGCTGGAGGAGCAATAAACCACCCTCAATTCCACTGGCTGGGGCAGTCTGTTTGTGCCATTTCGGGGTGCAGGAGACGGGGAACCCCCAACGCGCCGTCACACCTTGCCACTTTCCAAGTGTTTACAGACGATTTCCTTAATTACTTGTTCCATTATCTTCCCTGGCACAGAAGTTAAACTGACTGGTCTGTAGTTTCGTGGGTTGTTCTTATTTCCCTTTTTATAGATGGGCACTAGATTTGCCCTTTTCCAGTCCTCTGGAATCTCTCCTGTCTCCCATGATTTTCCAGAGATGATAGCTAGAGGCCCAGATACCTCCTCTCTCAGTTTTATCAAGCCATTTCTCAGAGGGGGAACCGAAGCCAGGGGAGAGGCAGCACCTTGCTCGCGGTCACAGAGGGAAGCGGGGTCAGAGGTGGCTGGGGACGCAGGGGTCTGGGCTGGAACGGAGCGAGAGGCCTGAGCAAGTGCTCCAACTCCACGTCCCACTGTGGAATCCATCGGGGTCTGTGTCTGGGGCTGCTTCACCGATTGGCTGCACGTCTACGGAGCCATCGCCTGCAGCCTCAGCACTTTGCTCCTGATGCAAGGCCCCCACAGGGAAAGCAGCTTATTTACACAGCTGCAGAGGAGTTCCCCAGGCAAGTTCATTAAGTACATGAAGGAGACGCACTGTTCTCTCTCATTATCCAGAGGTTTCTGCCACAGAGAGCTCCCCCGACCGCCTCCCTTCCCGCCAGTCCCTTCCACAAGGCCTGGTAGAAGGGACGGAAGAGAAGAGCAACCCACTAGCTTGCTTGCGGGGTGGGCTTTGCTCCCTTCTCTAAGTGCCTGGACACAGTGTGAAATCCCAGGCACTGACCGGAGGAATCTATGCGGGAGTATGAGGTTAGCTGCACTGTGGGCAGAGCTGAGCAAACATTTTTCAGCGAATAGTTTATTTGCTGAAAATTACAACTTCGGGTCAACTTAACTGTCCAAGGATTTGGGTCGAAATCAACAAGCAATTGCGTCTGGGGAAAAGGGAGGAGAATTCTGAAGTCAAAACATTTCAATATTTACGAAAATGGTTCAATTATTCATTTGGAAACATCTGTTTTAGAAATGAAGCTAAATTTATCTAAGACGCTCCCCAGAGGGCAATGCCCCACATACATGGAATCGTTTGTTTTTTCATTTGACCCAAAACGCAGTTTTTCTGGTTTTTCCCTCTGGAAAGAAACGCTGACTCAAACACACTCCGCCTCTTGAATTTTTTTGGTTTAGCCACCAAACAAACAAAAGACAATTATGTCCTAATGATGGGAGATATTTCACCTTTTGTTTCTCCACCATCAAGTGTTGGCCATAGGCAGAGGCTGAGCCGTGAACTAAAAGTTTTCCGTTGCTACAACAACTCCTGTTTTTGTGTCTCTGCTCTTCTTATTTATACCGCCCAGAGATTAAGGAACAATCAGAAATAAACTAAACTGTTCCTCTGCGGATGGATTTTTGTCTGCACAGCTAGGAATGTCAAAGGCAGAGTAACACGACCGAGGGAGCAGGTAGGAGGTGTCATGCGCTCAGCGACTGGAGGAGAATAATAGTCAATGAGTGACGTGTTTCCATTTGTCATGCAAGAGTCACTCTAACCGCAGGTGCCGCTTTTACCGAGGCCCTGGGATGCCCCGGGAATGGGGGACACGTGGAAAGGCGGATCAAAAGGGTTTCTTTGTGTCACAGAGCAGGGACTAGGGGCCACTTAAGCTCTTTGGGCCACAATTGGGTTTGCTGGTAGAATTTTGCCCTTTCACAAATGTGCAAATCCCAGCGGGAGAGGCGGGATCCTCCTCTGAACAAGGCTCTGTTCCAGCCATGCGCGGCCGGCGCCGGCAGAGGAGCGGAAGCGCCCAGGTCCCGGCACTCACTCACCTCCTCGGTACGTCTTCCAGGTGTAGTACTTCCCGCGGAAGGGGATGTTGTCGAACTCGGCGCACTGCAGCTCGCGGAAGTCATGGGACCCAGGGGGGCAGTCCTGTGGGGCAGAGAGGCCAGAACAAGGCTCTGTTCCAGCCATGCGCGGCCGGCGCCGGCAGAGGAGCGGAAGCGCCCAGGTCCCGGCACTCACTCACCTCCTCGGTACGTCTTCCAGGTGTAGTACTTCCCGCGGAAGGGGATGTTGTCGAACTCGGCGCACTGCAGCTCGCGGAAGTCATGGGACCCAGGGGGGCAGTCCTGTGGGGCAGAGAGGCCACTGAGCCCTTATGCGCCCCCCCCCCCTTAGGTTAGCACCTGCTGCACTTTTTACTTATTTCATCTTTGCGCCCCGATTTCTGATGCGCCCGAGGCGAGTGCGCTTGCCCCACCCTTGGTATGGCCCTGGCGTGTGCACAATTAACTGATAAGCCTGGGCTCAGCGGTTAACCCTAATGCTTACACGCCCCCCTTGCTGCCTCTGTATCACAAGCAGCAAGGTGGGGAGGTGGGAGCGGGTGCTCATGGGGAGTCACCTGCCTCCCCTCACTGCCTCTCTATCAGCGGGGGCGGGGAGAAGTGGGAGCCGGTGCGTGCAGGGAGCCACCTGAAAAGCTGGCTCTCCATGAGGACCAGCTCTCGCTTGCCGCCCGTGTGTAAACGTGTAACCACTAAGAATGTCCATGGTTACACGTTTGCACCACTAGACGTTTTGTAACAGCCCTACCTGTCAGAAACGGCCAATAGTTGCAGGTCAAAGGGAAGCCGATAGCCCACATCGGAGGTGCCCCTAGACAAGCGCACAGAGCTATCGCATGGGACAGGCGTCTTCTCTCCAAGCCTGGCGCATTCCCAGCCAGCAGGTGTCTGGATGGGACTGCGTGCCGTTCCTTTGCGGGCCCGGTGCAGAGCCACCTGCGGGCTCTCGGGGGCTCCCCAGCTGGGGATTGCCAGGCTACGCAGGGAGCAAGCTGCCCTGCTCAGAAGGCAGCGCTGCCACCAGCAGCAGCACAGACGTGAGGATGGCCCAGTAGCACTAAGCCTGCCGTGCCAAAGTTTCATGGCTGTTTTAAACAGTTCCCATGAAAAGAACCCTGGTCTGGCTATGACGACAGCTCCAGCAATAGTCTTCATTTCAAGGTGGTGAGGAACGGCAAACTCCCCCCACGCAACAGGGCCATCGTTTTAGCAGCGAGAGGAATGTTAAAAATAGAAACCTGCGCTTTACTGTGCGGGGGGAGGGCGCACTCAGAGGCTTGCTTTGGGAAAGGGAAGCAGGCTTTACTAGCAGCCTGCACATGCACAGAAACATCACAGAGCCGGAGAATTGCTCAGGCTGTGACTGGAGACCTGGCAGCAGCGGCGCTCTGCCTTTCCAGACTGCTGTGCCCCTTTCAGGAGCCTGACTTGTCTTGTGTACCCCGAAGATGCACCTCGCTTTCAAACTCCTTGTGCACAAAATCAGAGAGAGACACCAAAGTGTCTCAGCAGTTACCGAAAAATTGCTCTTTTCTCATTTCTATTCTCTACTCTATATCTGAGAGGATCTGTCTGTCTGTCCGAGAACTCCTCCTAACCAGCAGGAGCCAGGACCACCACATTCGGCAGGCGGCTTCCTCTTCTCCTAACTTAAAGCCAGGTCTGGCTTTGGCTGTGCCAGGATCATGGGACGGGCCTCAAAGGGTTTGCTGCTCATAAAACCAAACAGACAAAAGACCGAATCACCAGGCAGGTAAAGGGGTTGGCTGAAGGTGCCCCCCCCCCCCCCCCCGCGGGGAGCC